ATATATATATATATATGGGAGCAGAGCTACGGACTACAATATACGAGCAAAATGGAGTCCCCTGAGATGAAATGGGAGAACTTGGGTGGAATGAAAAGGACAACTATCAGTAGGTAGATTAAGAAGAAGCCTTGTCGCTGCTGGGCCCTGGCTTGACTTGCGGGTCGGACGAGGACGGACATGTAGGCGGTTGAAGCCACATTCGTCCACATCGCTGTCAGATTCATACGCATCATCCTGGCCAAACGCTGCCCTGCGAAGAGCCCGACGCTCTAGTGTACAGGTCTCTCTCAGCATCTCTCACTTAACAATCGCCGCCTCTACGGCATGCTGGCACCGTTCGGAGTAGTCTTTGTTCGTCCGGTCCGGTTGACATTTGGCACACATGTGAATAGCCCGGCCTCCCGGGGTTGAGAGTACACGAGCAGCTGCGAGAACTCGTCGCATTTGATCGTGCGTGTTCTATATTTCTCTGCAAAGTCGAATCCTTTTTTTGCGTGCAAGCGTGAAGAGTTCCCGGTTATAGATACCCGGTGGTATGGTGAGCGTTGGGTTCTCCCTTTTACCAGCAACTTCAGGAAGAGCATGGAGGGAGGTATCGGTGCTGCCTTTGTTCCCACGTTTGCCTACTCGACGATGAGTCTTGGGAAGAGGGAGGATCTCAGCAATATTGTCGGAATCGATATCGCTGTTGAACTAGGTCGACTCGCCTTCGTTAATGTTGAGCTCGGACTTGATCATCTCTTCCAATATCACGAGGCATGCCGAGGATGACGTCTTGGTTATATGGCAGGTATCAAATTTGATATGGAGCTCCAACAGCCATGTAAAATATGAGGTTGGCTGGCAAATAGATATGTTGAGGAAAAAGATGCACTGTCCTCAAGCCGCTTCCCTGCTATTTTATAGCTTTTAGTCGGTTCAATTATCTTCACGAACGTGGCAGGTAGGTCGAGTATTCTTGTTCCCAGAATCTTGGGCATATTCTATTCACCACCTTATAGGTGGTGGAATACAACCCGAGTAATAATATATATAAACATTTCAATGATAAATTATCAAAAGGGGAGTGCACAACAAGATTGCGACTATTCACTCATCACTTAACAGCAGCAAGGTATAAAATAGAGGTTTGTTCAGAAAAACGCTAATTCATCGTCATCATCATCATCATTATTCCATCCCAATCGTTCATATATCGACTTTTCAGGGGTTTCGTTAATGGTTCTGTTCGCGTCATCACCTGCCCGCTGGCGCAGGGGTGTCGAGACAGGGATGTTATGCTGCACACTACCTTGAGCAGGAGTACTTGGCTGCATAAAGTCAACTCGTCTAGGCACCGTCGATTCGCTAACAAACATCATCTGCTTCGGTCTAGGGGGAGTTTCACCCACTTCAGCCGATGTAGAATGTGCGGAGGTGTCAAGGCCAAATTTTATAGAACTAGATTTGTAAGAGCAAGGTTTCGATGTGCGGGCCAAAATAGGACTCAGCTCTGCCTCTATGCCGCTCTCCACGGGGTTAGAGGTAGCGCTTTGTTTCAACCCATTTGAAGAGGGTTTGGACGGTGTTTCGTGAACGAGGTCTTCCGTTCTTGAGAAGTTCAGAATAGGCTGGCTCTTAGGTAACATATCTGAGTTTGAAGGGCGGGTACTTGACGATGGCACTACCTGAGTATCAGGACCAGGTATCGGGCTTGCCATGACGGTTGGCCTTGACTGTTTCCATGCCTTGGGTAAGGACGGCAAGTCGGTAAATCCGCAGTCTTTATTGCGCGGCCTCTTTGGCGTCGCCATAACCTGTACTCCTTGAGCAAAAGGATTTCGGGTGGGATTCTTTTGCTTCCTAGGATGGGAGGCTGCCGATGACGCTGATCTCTTCTCCGCAGACTCGACGAAATCCCTCACTGCAAGCTCTCTGTTGGGTTTTCTGAGGGCATTGATAGCTGCATCCAGCTCACGTTTCTGGTCCACTAGAAGATTCATCCTCTTCAACTTCGACTCGTGCTGTTTGGCCACAGCCTCAAGATCCACCTCCCGGTTATTGGCTCGTTTCGATTTCTGAATGTCACCCCTCCCGCCTATAGAGGTGGAAAACGACAACTGGTCATTACTCTCACGTTTCACCTCTGCAGCAGCAGGAGCAGTGTTGTTCCGCGCCAGGCTCGGGACTTTTGCCCTAGCAGGTATCTTCTCATCAGTTCTGACGCGCTGTAGAGTCCTCTTCGACGGTTGCCCCTTGGCGGATTTCGATAATGGATTTGTTGAACGTTTTTGGTTGGAACGATTCGGCCTAGCAGGTGATGAGATGGCGGGGCCTCCTAGTTTGCGATTTATGACCTGGCATTTCTCAGGAAGGCGGGCAGAATAGAAAGGGATAATGACCTCAGTGCAGAAATCACGGAGCTTATCATTATTTGGCTTCCCCGGTCCAGTGGCCGCCTTGGCTGAATTTACAGAAATCGCGAAGTCATGGGAGCTCACTGTATGCCAAATGCACAATCTGTCCAGAAGTAATTCCAATGCCGTAGCCATATCGTGTGTCTTTTTGATGGCCTTTTTGGGCTTTTCCGTATTTCCGTCATCGAGTTCGGCCGGGCTGCCAACACTACCTTCTAGAAGCATTATCTCTAGGATCAAGAGGATTTGCAACTGGGTCTCTCTCATACGTATGTCTTCGATCAGCCTCTTCCTTTGGGTTTCCAATGCGGACTTCTCTACCAAGGAGTTGGTTTCATATGCAGATTTCCACCACTTGGAAATGAACTCCTCTTCGCCTGCATATAAACCGTCCTTGCCAATAGTTTTCTTCTTGCCCTTACGCTTCTTTGTAGGAGCAATCTTATCACCGTCAGACTGGGACCGGGTGATATCTGCTACTATTCTTGGCAAGGAATCCCTGTACTTCGCATCCATTTTTTTCATAGGGATAATGCAAGAACGATAGTAGTGATACAATACCGTTGGCCTCATGGATGATGCATCATCTGGATTCTGGAAAGCAGCTCGAGCACGCGTGAGAGGACCCTTTGCAAAGTAGGCCACGGATGTCTAATATGGTTTAGAATATACACAAAAAAACCAAAAATGAGGGTCTTACCTTTGATATATATAGGGCTTCAAGGTATTGCATCTTGAGTGTAGAAAGCATATCTTCGGCATTGTTACCAGTGTTGGTTTGCGGAAGAAATTGGCTGTCAGCGAAATATTCGGCAGGCAGACTGAAGCCAAGTTCAATGTTGTCTCCCTCTTTTGGAGATACTTCGGTTGCAACTGCCGGTGATTGTAAAGCGGCATTGGGGGACGTCTCGGTTTTGTCGACTTGGCTAGACACGGGGTCTTCATGCGGGGAGTCTCCAAAAGCGAAGGAGACAGCTTGAGCAGGTATTTCTTGGAACAAATCAATATCAGGAATGGTGGCAAATTCCAGGCTGTCCGTGAATGGGTCGGAAGGCGACTGAACAGGTCCAAACTCTTCCTGGACTCCGCTGGATTTGGATGCAACTGCCAAATCCCCTTCCTGAACCACGCCCCTTAGAGGACATATAGCATATACGTATCGCTTCACCCTTTCAACCACATAGTACTCTTTCGGTACTTCACCGTAATGGCGTTCTACCGTATCTGAAATTGCCGCGGCCAACACAGACGAGACATTCTCGCCGGAAAGACTCTGCTCAAGAGCGGGTATATTTGCCGTGAATAGGCTTCCTGGTCGTATGCGTCTTGGAGATGACAGACACGTATCCAGCCATGATAGCGGGATTCGAGAGCGCGGTATTAAGGCTATAGGGTAGAGGCTATGTGGTCTATCTGATAAGGAGGTACCGCAAGGCTAAGAGTTGCTGATATTAGCTGTTTGTTTTTGAAGGTAAGATAGGCATAATGAGGAACGCACATTGATGGTAAATTTAGCTAGTGCAGATTTACCAACAGCACCATCACTGTCATTATCTAACTTTAATCTTTTCGAAGGGGGAAAGGAATCATGGCTATCGTCCCACGAGCCCCTAGATGGCACCTTCGAGGTCGTTAGGAGGGGGAGACAGGTAGCCATCCAGCCATAACTCTTAACAATTTCAACACAATAAAAAGATAATAGTATGGAAGAGGTGCAGGGAATGCAGTGACAGCAAATGAACTAACAACTCAAGGATAAACAGTAGAAAAAACGTATATCTCACACTTTCAAGCTCATAGACGTGGTCGCTATCTTGATTGTTTCTATCAATTTAGAGCAAGCAAGAAGACGACGCGAAGTCACTTGCACGTGATGCTAAACCTTCTTTAAGGTTCTTCGCGCGCGTAGGGTTTCGAAGCTTGTTAGTAAGCAACCTTCTGGCGCTTTACATAATCTTAATGCCGGAAAGTCCCGGTGTGACCCGTTGCCTGGGGGTCCTTACCTGGAACCTGGTATTTTAGCACGATGACAGGACGATAGGGAGTCCACTGAGATACATCACCAAGGGCGAACTTAGGCCGGAAGTGCGATACTATCTAGATGGAAGAGTATATTGGCTGACATTGCATATAAAAGCTAAGAAGCCGAATTGATAGTTTGATTGGTTCTATCTACCAGGCCACCGAATGACTGGTTCAACTTTTTCACCGAAAACGCCCTCCGCCTGATATAATGTTAAATGTAGTATGTGTAAAAGCGTAACAAGGAAATTGGTATCATGTTGAATTATTCCGGAGATGCTGCAACAAAACCAGTTTGTAAATGCAATAAAGAAAAGTCGTGTAGATCCCATAAAACAGACGAAAGGGTCGTAAGTCTATTTTGTATATGCTTTGAGTTGTTGAAAACAAAGCAAACGATCATCACTATGATGAACTTGTTTTGTTACAACCGGAGGAGGAAGAGGAGGTGATTAATTGGATAGGAGGAGCGGAAGTAGAAGAGGGCGGAAGAGTAGAGGGGTAAGGTTAAGATATTTAGAAGTTGAGGGTCTTTGGCTTCTCCCAGGAGAAGCTCTGGTCGGTGAAGTGACCATTCTTGGCGGTTTGGAAGTAGATGGGCTTGGCGAGGTCGAGGTCCTTGACGATGACACCAGGACGGAGGTCAAAGTTCTTTCGGATGATGTCGACGAGCTCGTCGGAGGTCTTGCTGGAGGTGCCGTAGGTCTCGACAAAGATGGAGAGAGGCTCGGCAACACCGATGGCGTAGGAAAGCTGGACGAGGGCACGGCGGGCGAGCTTAGAGTGGACGATGGACTTGGCGATCCATCGGGCGACGTAGGCAGCAGAGCGGTCGACCTTGGAGTAGTCCTTTCCGGAGAAAGCACCGCCACCGTGAGCACCCCAACCACCGTAGGTGTCGACGATGATCTTACGGCCAGTGAGACCGGCGTCACCCTGGGGACCACCGATGATGAAGAGGCCAGATGGCTGGATGTGGTAGATGGTGCGGTCGTCGAGAAGGTTGGCAGGGATGACCTTCTTGATGATCTTCTCGAGGATCTCCTTTCGGAGGACCTCGGTAGTGATTTCCTCACTGTGCTGAGCACTGACGACGACAGTGTCGACGCGGACGGGCTTGACGGCACCGTTGTCATGAGCATACTCAATGGTGACCTGGGTCTTGGTGTCAGGGCGGAGCCATGGAAGGGAGCCGTCCTTGCGGGCATCCTTCATGGCACGGTTGAGCTTGTGGGCAAGCTGGATGGTCAATGGGAAGAGTTCAGGGGTCTCGTCGGTGGCATATCCGAACATGATACCCTGGTCACCAGCACCCAACTTCTCCAGGGCCTCATCGTAGTGAAGACCCTGAGCAATGTCGGGGGACTGCTGCTCGATGGCCACAAGGACGTTGCAGGTCTTGTAGTCAAAGCCCTTGGCAGAGTCATCGTATCCGATGTCCTTGATGGCATCACGGATGATCTTCTGGTAGTCAAGACGAGCCTTGGTGGTGATCTCACCGAAGACCATGATCATACCTATTGCGACGGTCAGCAGCCGGGAACACACAAAAGAAAGCCAAGCGCAATGCGAGACAAGCGTATACTACTTACCGGTCTTGGTGGCAGTCTCGCAGGCGACCTATGATTTTCGTGGGTGGTTAGTGACCGCAGAGACTTCCGACAACAGGGATCTGGAGGGGTGATGGCCACCTTGGAGAGGGGGTCCTCAGCGAGACAGGCATCGAGAACGGCATCAGAAACCTGATCACTGCGCTCAATTGTTAGCAGGCCAGCCAGAGCAGACTCCTGGAGACACGACAACCATTGCAACTTACGCGATCTTGTCTGGGTGACCCTCGCCGACGGACTCGGAGGTGAAGAGGAAGTTGCCCTGATTGGCACCGTTTGCTAAGCTGCCCATTGTGACGGTCTGGATATCTGTCTGTCTAGCGAAGAGGAGCAAAGAAACACAGGTAGAACAAGCAACAAAGACGAGACGATATCGCTGCCCAGGGGGGAGGGGAGGCGTTGCAGAGTGCTGTTGGGGGTGGAGGGGAGAGCCGGAAAAGAGACCTGAGTTGGAGGTTTGGTTTTGGGAAAAGGGGGCCAGGACGAGGCGGGAGCAGAAAGGCGGATGGGCTTAAGTAGTTTATGTAAGTCGGCGGGCGGTCTGGCGGGGCAGAAAAAAAAAAAGAGCGCCCCGGAAGGAAAAAAAACGAGGCTGCCGAAAGGGGAAGGCGGTGAGGGGCGGCAGAACAAGAAAGAAAAAAAAAAAGGCTCCGAGGGGCAGAGTTTTGGCAGAAAGCCCAAAGGGGAAAGGCGGTGGCCCTCCTAGTAGTAAACTGCGCTCTTCTTCCAAAGGTACTTCTTGTAAGTATATAAAACAGGTACTCCGTACAGCAACTACAGCAACTGCGGACGCAGAGAGCCGGTGATAACTAGCGGGTATTACTACAAGCATGACACGGATGGACTGAGGGCTGACCGAGTGCTGTTGGGCTTGTGAAGGCACAGCTGAAAAGGCGACAGGATACACCGAAAGGCTGACGGGTCCCCGAAGCCCGTTGCCTCGATCCCAGCCGCGAGGCGAGCGCCGCAGAACCACACACGAGTTGAAAGGAACGAAGAGGAAAGGAAACTAGCCGAACAACCCTAGCAAATAATATAAGCAATACGCGGGACCAGCATGTCGAAGTTCGGGGTCCTGGTCATGGGCCCGGCCGGCGCGGGCAAGACGACCTTCTGTACCTCGCTCATCCAACACCTCCAGAACACTCGGCGCAGCTGTTTTTATGTCAACCTCGACCCGGCCGCCGAGAGCTTCTCCTACGAGCCCGACCTGGACATCCGCGAGCTGATCACCCTCGAAGATGTGATGGAGGAGATGGGCCTGGGCCCCAATGGCGGCCTGATGTACTGTTTTGAGTTCTTGCTGCAGAATCTCGACTTTCTCAACGACGCCCTCGACCCGCTGAGCGAAGAGTACCTGATCATCTTCGATATGCCCGGCCAGATAGAACTCTATACTCATGTCCCGCTCCTGCCGTCGCTCGTCCAATATCTGTCCCGGTCTGGAGCCCTTAACATATCTCTCTGCGCCGCCTACCTGCTGGAAAGTTCTTTCGTCGTCGACCGGCCCAAGTTCTTTGCCGGCACGCTGAGTGCCATGTCCGCCATGATCATGTTAGAGATACCACACGTGAACATCCTCAGTAAGATGGACCAGATAAAGGGTGTCATTGGCAAAAAGGAGCTCAAGCAGTTCACTTCGGTGGATATCAATTTGATAGAGCCTGGCAACGAGGAGTCAACTGGTCGAGACCCGTCTTCCACTACGGAGGTCCTGACCGGTAGCTCATTCAACCGTTTGAATAAGGCTGTTGCCCAACTAATTGATGATTTTAGCATGGTCTCGTTCCTCAAGCTTGATGCGCAGGACGAGGATAGCATCTCTGCCGTTCTAAGCTATATTGACGATGCGATACAGTACCATGAAGCGCAAGAGCCAAGAGAGCCCGCAGCTGACCCCGAAGCCGAAGCGGACATGGAATGATCTGCTTGTTTTCAATTTATTGATACCATTCTCATCTTCGAGCCGGGTGGATGGTCTATTCCAACGCGGCAAAAAAAAAGAAAGGAAGGAAGAAAGAAAGAAGCTTAGCGTCGCGCTAGGCGGAGATGGTGCAATAATGGCCTGCGATGATGGTACAAGCGACCGTCAGCAACAATGCAGGACCAAATAACCGCAAGGTTAGCCATGGATATCCGCAGCTTTGAAAGGAAACGGATATAACCACGCGGTTGCCATGGAACCAGTTTGGGCACCATCCAATGAATCATGAACATTAAAAGTGTTTAAAAGAACTACTAGTTAATACAAAAAAATACCAAGAATAATAATATGAAAAGGAAGTATGCTGCCCCAAGTTCAACCAAGACGTGCCGACATGGATCGTAATTTTCACCTCCATGGCCTGCCTTGCGAACTCCTCCATTGATCCTGCGATCGCCACCCGCCTGTTGTCCGAGAACTCCTACCAGAAGGCGGCTCGTTTGCGATCAGCTGCCGGATGAACCCTTCCAGCAACCCAAGCACCCACGCAGCGTCATACCATACTTGCTCCCACCCGACGTTATACGCATACCATGCAACTCCTGCGATCGCGCCCCAAAACACCAACCGGAACACCAACATGACCCAAAACATTATAACCCTCCGTGCATAGTCCAGGATTTTAAGCGATATGATGAAAATAAGAAGAAGCGCGAGTATCGAGTAGAGGTCTGGAGGCGAGTTGAGCAGAGTATTTATCGGTCTGATGAGGTATGGCTCGATGTATGTGAGTTGGGCGGAATGCCAGTGATCCCGGGCTAGTTGTATGTATGTGAAGATGTTCTGTAGTATTGGCGGAGGGATGAGGCGCGATAGTTGGTTGAGCGCTGGGAGAATATAGTCTAAGTATGTCTGTCAGCTCTTCGTTGTCGGGTTATTATGTAGCGCTACGGATTGTTTTGGTAGCCATGACGCCAATCTTACCTCTCAGAGGCGAGTCTCCTTCAAAAGCAGCCATGGTCAAGTAGAAGTCGAACAGCCTGGTTCCTGTCTTATGTCCTCTCTTGCGCGATATAGGGAAAAAATATTCCGTGGTATGATTCTCCAACTGCGTGATACTAGGCAAGCTCTGTTGTACTTTGCTTGCCTTTGCTTCTCCAGCGTTGAACTTCAATTATTTACTTTGCTGGCCAGATCTAGTGTCAGGTGATTTTAAAGCGACCTGCTTAGTAAGTGCGCATAATTTACTTCTAGACGTTCAATATAATAAGTAAATAAATTGCAAGTAAAGGTAATGTTAATACAGAATTGAATAGTAAGAGACAACAAAGGGAAAAAAAGCCAAGAGAGGGAAAGATTAGAAAGGTGAAATGGGGAAAAGGGAAAAGGAGGATAGTCAGACAAATGTGAAGGGAAGCCGCTCCGGATAGCAGGACAGGCGATCAATGTCTAAAATGCCACAGAGATCGCGTGAATGATTTTCGCTGAGCGAGAAAGGCCTCAGAGGCTTTAACGCCTACCTTCGGCTTCCTTTTCCTCATCTTCGGTAAGTCCAGGCCATTCATTGATCACCTCCAAGTCCACAAAGAGCGTCCCAATCTCTTCCTTTCCGTCAAAGATTTTCAGGTTGCCATTCTTAGCAACAGTAGTAGGGAACTCGCCACCACCTTCGTGCACGCTCTTTCTGTATTCCAGCTCCTGCGTGCATCCTTTGCCTTTAGTTCCAAATTGCATGAAGGCCGGTCTGCACAGCTCGTCATAAGCACCGTCGTCCTTGATCAGGTCCCTGCCACGGTCTGTCAAAGTCAGCCTGGTCCTGAGACCAAGCGCATCCTTGACATCATGTTTCAGAAGGGGTCTAGCGAAACCGCTATCACCGTATTTGAATGTTGTATCGCCCAGTACCTCGTAGGCTTCACCTTCGCCTTTGTCGATCACAGCCGCTCTCATCTTGTCACAGAAAGGGTCGGTTTTTGCGCGGAATGGTCCTGCCTCCTGAAAGACGCTGGGGATGTGCTTAGCATCCTTATAATTGGTACAAGAAGCCTCGTCGCCATAAGATTTGCCGCGGGCTGCCAAGTTTTTGCCATTTGGCTGGGTGAGGTAGATGCAGTCCTTGATCACCTGAGTCTCGACGGCATCGACATCAGGGAAGGAAGGGTAGCTCTTCTTCATACACTCGGCGTATTCAGGTCCTCCATTTTCGGCCATGATTCTGTTCAAGTCGGGAACGCGAAGAGGGGATCCATTAGAATCGTCATGTCGTTTGGTATGGACAACATCAGCAATGCAGGAGGCAGTGGCTTCCGCAATAGCCCCCGTTATTTTGCCAGCAAAGCCCCTTCTAGCCAGACAGGAAAGGACACGCTCTGGACCATCCTTGATTTGAATTGGTGAGGCGTAGACCGACGGGGCGAGGAAAGAAACAAGAAAGGCGGCAGTGGCAGGAGCCATGATAGCAGAGGTAAATTGAACCATCTTGTCAGTTGGGATATTTAAAAATGTTTGGTTTTGGGGGATTGTAGGGAGCGGAGGAGCGATTGAGCTGGTTTGTCTGGAAAAGGATCTGTGTGTTTGAGTGTTTGGATAGAAGGAAGAACTCCATGGTGGTTCTGCGGTTTATATAGACAAACTTCTCGGTCCTTTTGCTGCTAGATACATAGTGATTCAAGACATATCACTGTTCAGGCACAACTGTCTGTTGTGTAATGCATTGCATTGCGTGAATTGGTCATGAACCTGCTCATAAGCGCAGACTCAAATCTTGAGTAAGCCATTGGCATAATAGTGTGTAAGCTCAGACAAAGAGTAAGGACTACTATACTGCTATGCTAAAATGGCAATGTACTCAGGGTATCATCAGGACTGCATGTATCCCATGGGGCGCAGTGATGAGAAGCTGGGCCTAAATTTGAGGATATCGACATCTTGGGTGTTGTTGATGAAGTAACGCGCTTGCAGTCTTCGCGGCTGCGCTAGCGACAAAATCGATTAGTAAATTTTATTATGTAATTGCAAAGTTACGTGTTATTGGCCAGTATATCTCGCACTGGTCAACGCCAAGACCAATCAAGCGACCTGCGCTAAAAATAGCAAGAACCCGAGTCTCCAGAGTACGTCCCACATTGCCATCTGTATATACTTATATGCAGGGGGCCATGGCTACAGGTTAACTGCATGTGAATAACACTCCGGCCAGCTCTCCACTCTATCCGGCGCACAATACGGAGTATGCTTAGAGTAAATGCATTTTGAGGCAGCTTCATGTTGGTGTCCATGCAGTATCATTATGAGTGAAACCCACCACTTCTGAGCTATCAACTAGTTTTAACATGTCTCCTCGCTGAACATGATGAGGTAACTAACTCGGAGAAACTGTAAAGAGCTTGCTCTCCTTTGTATTCCTACTATGAGTCAATTGTAGGCTACCTTCTGGCCATGAGCAGAAAAGCGTAAAGCGAAGTTTGATATCCTTTGCAGCTAACTCTGTCATACATATCGACCCTGTAGCATGAATAGCTGCAAGCTGAATTATCTCGTAGCTCCAGTTATGCACCATGACTATACCTGAAACCCGGGTTTCAAAAATGCTGGTACGAAGTTCGTTAACTTCGATTATCAGTGTATTCAGAACTCGCTCGGACGGCGCAAGCACTCTTCCTCGTTTCAGAGTGGCAAATGAAGAGCTCCTTGATGCATCAAGAGCTTGTCAGAGACCCAGGTAATGCTATTATTGTGTCCCAATAGTGATCAGGTACTCTGTTAGTGGAAAGAAGGAGCCTATCAGACAAGCAATGGAAAGAGCAAGAATTCAGCATAGCGTAGCGTTGCATTGATTGTTGAATGGCAGCAAGAAGAAAAACATAAGTAACAAGGAAGCTAGAATACAAGATTCGAAACGGTGGGTTAAATGCAAGACGTCCACCTCCGTTATCGAGGAAAGCAGGAAAGAAAATCCGTAGTCTGGTACCATGGCACTTCCCAACCGGGAGTGAAGATTAATTCCTCCATGGGGAAAAAATGAAGAAAGTAGAACAGTAAAACAGAGGGGCCCTGGCTGACCTCAAGGTATGTATAAAACTCGCAGAGAGTCGAAAGATAACAAAGGTAGTATGGGAAAGAGGGGAATAGAGAAATAAACTCCAAAAAATTGAAGAAGAACAAAAAGGGAATCAACCATGTCAAGCCAAGCCAAGCCGACGTGAAAATGCGCCTGTTCAATGCTAGGATATGGAAAAGGAAGAAAAGAAATTTAGGGTAAAGATAGGTGAATAAAATATTAGGAGTAATTGAGACTCGTACAATCCCTCGCACGGTCTATATATTAAGCCTCTAACAGAATGAGATGGTAGGATTGGTTTGTTTATTCGACATCTATCGTTTCGTAGTTGACTTCATGGCTCGTTTATGGGCGGTGGTGATGGCTGTTGTATTATGGCGGAAGGCGGTAGTATGTTTTGCGTATTTATTAAGTATTATTAGCATTGCTGTACTTGAGCTTGTAGCCTTCTTGTCTGGCGAAGTGCTTCATCCCTGTAGGTTGCAATTGTTAGACTGCACAGTCAACTACTTCGCGTTAGAGTGAAGAAAGGACATACCTATCTGACTGCAGTTCGGCAACCTGCATCTGTGCCGTATTCATCCGACTGACGACCTCTCCCATCTCAGCATCTGCATCTCTCAAAGCTTGCTCCAAGGCTCTAACTTTGCTTTCGAGGTTCTCAATTTGGGCCACCTGGTTCAAGCCTTGGGCCTCACCACTGGTCGTCTTGGTGAGACGAGGTGACCTGGACGTTGGGAAGGGTGAGTTTGGCAAGACAGGGGAAAGCATCATTGGACTCCGGACACCGTCCTTGGCTCTGAGAAGGAGAGCATTGTGATTCTCCATGAGAGCGGAAACCTCCTGTTCATGCTTTCCAACTTCTTCTTCCGAGCGTTGCTGTGCGAGCATGAGCATCTCCTCCAATGACTTGAGTCTCGATTGCATCTCGTTTATCTTGGTAGCCGAAAGCTTCTGTTCACGTTCACCCTGGCTGATGGCGTCGGCAAGTCGGGCTCGCAAGGAAGCATTTGAGGCGACTTGTTTCTTGATCTCATTCTCGAGATCTTCATTTGGTATCGGTGAGCCTGGCTCGGCATTCTCCCTTTCAATTTTGAGCTGTGCATACATTTCTTCCAAGGAACTGGCGGTGGTGTGGAAATCAGTCATGCCATTTGTATCGGTTCCGTCCATATGAGGAACAGGGATATCGTAGTCCTGCAGCAGAGCGCGGAGAGAGCTTGTTTCTTGTTCGGCACGATCAAGGTCCATCTTTAGCCCGGCAAGCCCCTTCTCACACTGCCATTTTTGATCAAGGGCGTCATCCGCCCGACGACGTAGAAGATTTATTTCCTCACGCAGGTTTTTAACATCACGTTCATAACTTCTCTTTCGGGGAGAGTTAGCCTGTCGAGCCCGGTATAGCTCGAGTTCCATTAGCCTGAGGCGTTTCTCATGTTGTCGAGCTTGGTAAGACTGGCGTTCGAGTAAGCTCTTAACTGTTTGATGAAGGGCGTCACGTTGAGTCTCAACATCCTTCATCTGATTTACTAACGACTCGTGGAATTCGGGCCCCTTCACTATCATCGAGGTTGGACGAGAGAGCGAACCGGATCGGGCAACACCATTTCGAACCGGGGGTATTCTAGCCAGGGAGTTGGATCTAGATAGTCCGCCAGATGCCCGATTATTGCTTAGCCCGATACCAATCCCGATAGCTTCTTCGGCGATCGAGTCGATACGAGGTGATTGGGGCATTTCGGGAGGTGCCTTCCGAGACTGCGAGAGAAGGCTGTTTTCGTTGCGGAGGTTTTGCATATCTTGCTGCATTTGGGCCTGGAGCTGGTCTCGCTCTAGTTTCTGTTGCTCGAGTTCCACCCTCATACCAGTGAGAAGGTCTTCCATATTATCCTTCAGCTGTCGTTCCTCCGTGAGCCGTCGACGGGTATCTTCCAATGCAGCCTCAAGTTCTTTCGATTTCCCAGCCGCATTTGATGCCTCGACCTTTTCTCGCCGAAACTGCATGATGCCAATTAGCTCAGAGATTCTAACGCAAATTGAGAAAAAAAAAAAAAAAAACGGGGGGTTAACATACCTGACTAATTTGAGACTCGAGAAGCTGAACGTGCGATTCTGCAACCTGTCTTCGCGAACGCTCTTCCTGCCATTTCTGCGAGAGATCAATCTTCAATTGCGCACGTTCTTGCTCATAGTTCCTCTTCAGCTTCTCGATGTCCTCGGTCTTGGTACTACCGTTAATACTTAGATCCTTGACGGAGGAACCCTGGCCAGAATCTGAAAAATAATATTCACTGCCTCTTCTATCGCTTTCGCTGCTCTCTAGTTGCATTCTCTCGACGATATCCTCGAGTTCCATCTCTCGACGGATGGAGCCAGCCAGCTCCGAGCTAATCTCACGTAGTTCGTGTTCCATGTCGGCTAGCCGTGAAGTCACGCTGGCGTCCATGGGCATGGTCTGGGATCTGCCGGCCATTTTAGGTACAGAAGAGAAGGAGTCCTGTGGACGGTGGGTGTTTGTAAATACGGTAGATGCAGCGGTGGAAGGATTCACAGACGTCATAGGAGAAGGCATAGGAGAGAGAGCAGAATCCGAGATCTCAGTGGCACAGGACTCGTTACCTGGAGAGGCAGAGCCAGCGTTAGTCTTCCAGCCGAAGAAGGACGTGATCTTGCTCCCTGGAGTCTTTGGTGTCGGCCTGTAGTCGACGGAGCCGTTAGACATTGACCGAACACTAGAAGAATCGACGCGCAGAGGCGGAGGCTTTGCAGATGGTGCGTGCTGGGGAGGGTGTAAGGCCATGGTGAAAGACCGTTTGTGATCTTTGAGGCTCTGAATTACCGCATTCAGACTGCGTCCAGAGAGTAGCGGTTCGCTTGTAAGGCGGGCGCGCGTAGGCTGCCGGCACTGCTGCGTCTCAAGTACAGAAGCGGTAGAGTGGTTCACTCGATGGTGACGCTGAGGATATCCTGGGAATTGTGGCTTTGGAGAATGCCCATGTGGAAATCTACACACGTACACTGTTAGCAAGATTCTGTACATCTGGGAGTGGAAAGGGTGACAGCCGAGTACGAACCTGTCGAGGTCTCTCACAGAGAAATTGATCGACGTAGCGGATTGGGGAAGCGAATCATGGCCCGAGGAGGACGCAGACGGCCTCCTAGACTGTGTTGGCTCAGCCGTCAAGTGCAAAGGAGCGACGTTGGGCGGTAGCGGCTTTCTGCGAATTGGCGGCGGCACCGGCGGCGGCGAAGGGGTAGATGCGTAGTTGGAGTCGTTTTGGTAGCAGTTGTAGGGAGAAGAGAAACTCGAAGTCGAGGAAGTGCGCGTACTGTCCCAGTAGCAGCTCTGAGGAGAGACAGGAGTGGCGCCTGGTGGCGCCGTAGTGGTCCCCTCCGATAGAAAAGCCGCCATATTGGCCAGGCTTGACGTCTCCGTCTCTCTGTCTCTCCCTTTTCGCTCTTTCTGGCGTCTCCTGCTCGTTGGCGGTTCCTCCTTTTACCGGGTGGACGAGGGGTGGAGTTGGTTCAGGGGCTTCTGCAACCAGGGCAAGGGCCCTGGTTGGCTGCAGGGCGGCGTTAACTCTTGCCTAGGCGCTCCCTTAGCCCTTTGACTCTGGCCCATAGGACCCCTAGCACCTTGCACTGAACCCCCCTAAAAGCAAGCCCCAGGGCTTGTCTTCGCCCACACACCCCAGCTCTCCCTCAGACTCGTCCAACAACCCCCTGATTTGGAGAGCCTGAAGAACTTCGGCGCTAAGGCAGAATCACGTGGACGGCAGGCACTCAGGCCTCTCTTAGGTCGTTCTTTTCGTCTTTTCGTCTTCTCGTCTTCCGTCCGTCTGTCTGGCTTCCTTCGTCCCTTCGCACGAAATTCGGTCCTCACTCCCAAGTTATCTTCGTCGTTGGTGGTTGCTTTTATGCCACATGCGCCAGGACACGGGATGGAATGCTCCTCTTTGTTAATGGCCTGTCAGTCGCGCTTTGTTCCTGCATAAAACGCCATGCGTCGACTGCAGCCAACACTTAGCAACCCAGGTACGGCTGGGGGCAGAAAGTGGAAGGTCGAATGTGATCGTCTGGTATATGGAGAACACCTGGGTGTATATTCCGTATGTGCCGGATGGGAGTAAGTGTAAGGATAGGAGCAGTGTACGTAAGTATGTTGTGTCAAGGACTTCACGGGAGGAGGGAAGAGTGCATATTTAAATATTTTTATATACGGGGAACCGGCGGCCATGAGCTGCGGTGTTCCCTCATCCCAGGCGAAGGCGACAGACGAAGTGGACGTCTCTTTGCTTCTTCGGTGCAGGCCGTTTCTCGATCGATGGGATGGCTTTCTTGTTCGACAGGGAACATACCGAATACCGGCCTTAATACTCCCTGTCCAATGGCTGGCGTCCTGGCCCTGCTTCTGCCAATACGCGCTGCAGCGTTAGGCTAACCTTGAAGATTCGCAACATGGTGACTGGCCAATGGGATGTCGTTTGAGGCTTCTGATCTTGGTGGCAAACAGGATCTCTGTTCCGTACTTCTGGGGTTGGTTTCTGTTGTGCAGTTCTGAAGATCTAAAATGCAGCCGACAGACAGGTGGGTGTTATGGTCGATGCAGGCAGGCTCTAGAAGGATTTGGAGTACAAGAAGAAAGAGACACAAAAAGAAAGAGAAAGGCCAAAAAGAGAGACCAAAAGAGATCAAAAAATAGGCAAATATATAGACAGATCCCGAGAATACAAGACACCCTTCAGCCCTCAAACGTATATCTCAGCCACTCTCCCACAGCTCGGAGACTCTCCCATCTCACGGACTCTTCCCGGTCAGTCATCAAGGCCATCACTCGCGCCTTCAGACCTAGTTTGTCCAGCTGGTGTCGTCGCTCGGGCACTTCCCTCACCAGACACCCAACGTCGTTACACGCAATAGCCAAAACCTGCTTGTCTGTCTCCCAGTCCTTCGACAGGATCTCGACCAGTTTCTTGGGTAGGCTTCCTCCATCCTCATCCAGGATTCGGCGTGCATTCTCACGCCAGAAAGTTGGGTTGCGGTGCGGGGGTGACCAGCGAAGGTGGCCAGCTTGTACTTCTGCAGCGTACTCGTCGAACGTGGTCTGCTTCTTCGTATATTCATCGAGCATCTCTGTCAGGGCAGAAAGGTCCTCAAGCAAGTCAGGGTCACTTAGATGGCGGCTGTTCAGGTTACTCAGCATGGCTGGTAGACGCACCACCACCGCATTTGGGAGAAGATTCGCTTTGCTGCTGGATAGTAGGTTACGGAGCGTTGAGAGCAGGAGACGAGTAGTCTTCTCCTTAGGTGAAAGCCTTAGCAAGTTGGTGTACAGTGCGATTATTTCATGTTCCCTAGGATATCACGTTAGTCGATGCATAGTCAAACGCTATTTTTGTTTATCATGGGTTTCTCACGATTCAAGCTGGGCACCAATCAAGTCTGCCTCAAAGCTCAACTGCCACAACACAAGAAGCACATGGTACAAAAGCTGGATCCCAACTCCGCCGCTAATACCGGTTTCCCCAGCTCGACTTCCACCCAGAGAGGACCCGTTATCCTTGGTTGGACCAGCTGCGGCGCGCAGAATCCCGATCAGTGGTTCGACAGTGTCATTCCTCTCCTTCCAGAAAATTTCTCTTGATCTCTTTGTCCGCAGCAAAGCGGAGTATCCTTGCACCCCTATATCCTGTAGCCCGGTATCCGCACTCTTCGTCAAAGTAGACAGGTAAGCATAGAGTTTTGGCAGGGCAACCTCGTCCTTTGGAGATGTCTTGGAAGTAGCCCTGAGCGAGGCCGAGACAAGGTTGGCCAGCAGGGACGAAGTGAGCAGGGGAATTGGATCCTCTGAGTTTGTCGAGTTGGTAAGGAGAGGGAGGAAGTGTCGATAGCTCTCGCTGCTCTCCACCAGAGCTGATGTCAGAGCCGGTACATCTAGACACGCCTAGTTAGAGGTTGACTACCAAGTTATCGGTTCGGTCATACATACCACTAATTAGATCTCCGGCGAGGACGAGAATGTACTGTATTATATCTGTCCTTCGAGTAGCAGACTCCAAGATGCTCTTCTCCGACCCATTACCGGCCAGCAGAGAAGTGTATGCCGCCACATCTTTCTCAATCGTCTTTTGTCTGGAGTCCTTCCGCACCTTATCAACAGCCTTGACCCGTTTCAGCTGCTCTTCCGTAATGTTTCCTGCTCGCACTGCACCCTCCCATGGTATCGGTCGAGCTCTGATGTTGTTCTGCAACGAGGTGAGGTAGGTCGGTGGCTCGAGGGACATGGCTGGAGCTGCCAAATGATGACCGGGACTGTTGTGTCTGTGTGTATATCTGGGAATGTCGGTGAGTAGCTGGTCTGCTTCAGCAGCAGCTTGGAGCTCCGGTCAGTGTCCGCTGCTATCGCTTCTGCTGATGCTGTCGTTGATGCTGAAGCTGATGTCGATGTCGTTGTTGACGTTGTCGTCGATGGCCGTCGTGGACTTGGGAGCTCCACGCCAAGCCTGTTGCCTCTAACTACTTAACTCCTCCTAATTCGAAGATCGAAACATCCTTGGATATTCAACTATCACCTCGCCAAGGAACAGTCTAGGCAGCATTAAAAGCTATGATGGTTGCTACGAGACAGAAAAGAGAGAGATCGGACATGCCTCTCGTCTTTATCCTCTTTATATCCTGTACTAGAGTCATCGAAACTTATTAGACGACCTCGCTGAGACATCCCTCTGGTACTGGACGCATACCCCAGAAGTAACCAGGCAGATATAGATTTCAACTGTCGGGACGACCATCACATTGAACGAGAGAGATAAATATGTGGAATCGTGAAGATTGGCCCTCCATTTTTGGGGGAGAGGGAGGCGCCAAATGAACTACCTAGGCATTCCAGGGTCAAAGCACCCCTCCCCTGTAGTGACTGTAAATAATCGATAATATGTAGCTAGGCAGCAACGGGAAAACGGCGACCCCGCAAGCAAGTCCTCCCTGCTCTCGCATTTCGTTTTGATGAGAGAGAGACTGTCAACTATACCTCCTTCCAACACTACTCTACAGCCAAACCGAGACTCCGTTTCCAACCATGTGCAGGTATTCTATCATACCTATCATTCCCTCTCGATGCACCGCTGTTCCAAAGCATGTAGTCAAGGAACGAACATATATTCTTTGTGATAACCCGCAAAACCAAGGGACCTATCGGCACTGCGACGACGAGCATGCAACAGAGACCGGACAATTTGGATCATCACGAAAGGATGCAAATTGTATAACCTGTCTGAATCCAGCGCGAAATATTATCTATGTATATCCTCTATTAGATAGGCCCGAAAGATCAATAATGTTAGAAGCTGACAGGTTATTTACTTAGAAATACATCAACCCCTAGCACCACCAGAAAGCCTCGAGAACATTGCGGCAGGCCCGACCTGTGAAGGGGAAGTCGACTCTACCACGCACCGTTGATAAGAGGACTGGCGTTTACTATGCTAAGGGATTAATAGTGGTGGCTCGGAACATGGCTTGGGCACCGAAGACAGCAGCGGCAATGAACAACTGCATGCGGATATATACTATGATTTGTTAGTCATTAAGTGAGACATTGTGCCACCCAAGACATTTTCTTATTACCTACCTCGAGTATGTTCACTCCGTTTTCTTTCCATCAGGCCGTTGATGGATAGACTCAGGTCATTCCCATGTTTCATCCTTCGCTGGATGCCTCTGATCTCTGCTGCTACCTCCCCTGCATTGGAATAACAACCACGCCAGCACTTGAGAATCACGCCGCCGAGAAGAAGCCGGCTTGTGTCAGGGTATTCACCCCTCGCATACCGAGCTTGTAATTCATGTTCCTCCAGTCCCTCATACGCTTTGAATGTAGTAGAGATTTCGTATATCGCAGATCCGAGGGAGAACAGTTCCGTCTGTACCGTAGGAGACCCTATCACGGCCGTGGGATGCTGGGCCGTCGGGCTGACAACGACGGTCGGCCTGCTCCCGTCTATCGAGCTTCCAGAGAAATCGCAGTACTTGACATTATCGTCCCAGTCGACTAGCAAGTTGTGAAGACCGACATCAACCTGAAAGACGCCCTTTGCATGGAAATACTGCATTCCTTCAGCCGCTTGAGCAGACCATTTCAAGACGTCATCGAGGCTAGCTGTCCGGCCATCTTCCCTGAGCTCCCATGTTCGGAATCGTAGAGGGTATCTCAGTCGCTCAAGGACAATAAGATCCTTATAAGTGTATAACAGTTTCACTATCCGCGGATGGTCCCCAAGTCGCTCGAGAATCTCCCTTTCCACTCGAAGCTCTTCAGCATTCTCCTCTCCCCCAGTTGGCGTCTTAATCACCGATAGCTCGTCAACCGCAAAAACAATGCCTGAAACTCCTCTATTGACAAACGGCAGATCCCAAAGACACTTAGGGAAGTTTGCTTTGGCCTGATTGGGTTGGCCTGACATGATATTGAGCCAAGTACGCCTGAGAAACTGAGGTCAAACAGGACTTTGTTAAGTAAGTAATAAACACTTTCTAGCCCGGTTGGAGCTTCGGCTCTAATCAAGATTGTGGCCAGGCAAATCCACCTATCCACGGGATGGATGACTAAAAGTCACATGATTGATCAGTGGACGGAGTTACGTAATTAGTTAACCTACTTGGACCGGGCAGGTAGGGAGAGCGTTGCTTGGAAGTGGAATGAGAACGTAGCCAGTACATGGGAACGAATTCTAGTTGGCTTACATTTAGCCTATCCTAGGCGCATTAACTAACTTGTTGTTTTCACCTCCCAGCTTCCAGAGTCTAGATGAACCTGGTTGAATCATTGGACATAGGGGAGCAAATAGTTTGCTATCCTAGTTAACTAGTTATCTCCTCAGGTCATTATAACAGGGCCAGTAAGTTTGTCGCAGTGACTTTCCAACGCTCCGGCCACAAAACACGTTTGGCTCCTCAGGCTTTACATTTCCCAGTAAAGCAAAATCCGCAGTCTTCCCGTCCCAGGCCTTTTGAAACATCCAATCCACCAGAACCATCTTTGTTTTTGGCACAGCATTTTCCGTCTCGGTTTTTACTACAAGGAGATATTGGTTAGTATACAAACTTAAATAGAGTTATAAACGAGAAATCAAAGGCAACAGGATCACATGCCTCGTCAACCCACGGGGGTTCCCCTTACCAATTCTCAAAGCTGTTCTGCGGACTTAGCCTCTTGCCAGTGCAGCGGTCACTGGCCTGACGCACTCCGCTACATCCTTTCAAGGCCCCCATGACGCCGGCGGCATCGCGTCTGGATATACCGGCGTTCGTGTTGGCCAACGGATTAGCCAAAGCAAAGGATGCGAGACATGCAAATGCTGCAGAGTAGAGCAGAGTCGACTTCATGGTGAATGATTCTTGTGGTCGTAATGTTCTCTGGGAGGTGAGTTGGGTGCTTGGAATGTGTCTCTGGGGAGGGGTCAATAATGGGGTACTTATACCCATGCCCCTTTGGTATCTCGTTTTTCAGTCAAATTGACTCGACCGCTTATTTGTGATAGTAACCTGAGCTAGCTTGATATCGATGGACTTGACTGGTGTAAAACGGAATGCATTGCGAGCGGGCCACAAAATGGTTTCCTTGGCCACTGTTGGGGAGCCATCATATTTGAAGATCATCTGCCGATAGAGCATTTAGTTGAGCCAGCTCAAGCGTGTTTCGGTCGTAGACATGTTGTGGCTTCTTTATACTTCAATGCCCCGGAACGAACTTTGAAGATTATACACAGTAAGACCTAGTCTCCGTGACGGATCCTTTGTTAGATAATTTTGTATTTCCTGGCCCCCAGATCTTTTATTCAAGTACGGAGTACTTTTGAATGGACACCAGAAGAGTAATAGTCCACTACAATAACGGGTAGTTGGCTTTCTATGGCCAAACCTTCCAGTTGTCGATGGATTTTGTGGCTTTAAATGGCGTCTCCTCAAATGACTAGCAAAAAAATCACAGTTTGAGAGAGTAATGTCTGCAGAACGTATCTCTCCTGTGCTGTCTCATTCTGAGGCAAAAGAGTAGCCCGCTTGCTGGTAACTTTCAAAGACTGGTTTCTCACAGGTAAGGCCGATTGACAGGTTCAGGTTCTCTTTGGGGGGGATGATAGGCCAGGAGCAGTTGAATATGAGCTCAGGGTCATTCCTCAGCTCTCGCACCAACAGTGAAAGCGATGCGAAACTAGCAGCTGGCCAGGCCTCTCTTCTCGGGTATTGCTATGTCCATATAGTTACTCCGTAGTTTAGTAGATCTATGAGCATTCTTCGATCTCGCTCTTTGATTAAGTGTTGTCAAATAGTCGGCTGCTGGCGTCTGCATTGCAAGTGGAAGGCTGAGGAATTGTGAAACCCGTAACTAACGACCCTTTCACTGACTCCAGATCAGTGACTCAAGATCGGATAACTTCCTGGTTATCTTTAAAGGACAAGCTGTCCGCGAACAAAGGCATCATCCTGCTTCCTTGTTGACGAAGCAGTGAAGAGACGGAGGATTTCCTGGTTTGCCTTTCGACCGTTTATGCTTAACCTTGAATGGCAATCCGGTTATTTATAACTAGTTAGCTTCAACATTTGAACCACCGTTGCTCTGTCGCCTATCTCATACCATCTGGCCAGCCCACCCCTCCTCGACCTCCCCGAAGACGCAAAGAGACGCCGTGTCAACACGAGTGCTCGATGAACACCTGATACATGCGAAGGATTACGCCAGAGGCGAAGCGTTGAGCCATGTCGAAATGGAAGGTCGGCTCTTTTTTACAGCAAGCCGTGGCTGGCGTCGAGTCCAGGCTGGACACCATCTTGGCCGACAGCGACAGCGAGGCCGCGCAGAATGGAGATAAGACAGAGAAGCCCGCAGAGAAGCAGCCTGGTCTGCGGGCGGGCATGGCGCCTCCTAGTATGTTTGGTCCTTTAACTGGTAGTTAACCGTTGGTTGGCGGCAGTAGGAAGCTAACCCAGTGAACCAGGTCTTTCAAGAAGCTCCTCCTCGGCCAGAGTCAATGACAGACTCCAGGAACGGCTTGCTCGCGCAATGGTGAAGCAGTCCGGAGCTGGAGGAGTAACCAGTCCGCCATCATCAACTGGCGTGCCCTCACGAACCTCCAGTCCACTCCCCGCAGATGGCAGCAGAACGAGCATTGATAGCACCACTGGGAACATAGAGAAGATTACAGATGATACAGCATCGGATAATAAATCGGTTACTGGTTCGGTGCCGCGCACTAGTATAGATGCTACAGTCCAAGGAAGAAGGTCA